GTGCCCCAGGAGACTGTCATTGAGGACGGCAACATGGATGGCAATGGCTTGGAAGGCAGTGGCCATGGTTTGCCAAGTGGAGCAACAGCCGGCACCGACGCCGACGCTCCTTTGTCCGAGGTTCAACGCAAAGAACGTCAAGACTTCCTTGCTGAGGTCAAGAAGTATGACGAGAAGCAGTTGACCAAAATGACGCTTGAGAAAAACAAAGCTGGCGAAGCTGGCTTGAGAGACTTGTGGGACAAGCTTGCCAGAGGAGAACTCCGAGCCCAACACAAAAGGACTCCGAAAAAAGAGCTGATCCAAGAGATTTTGAAGCTGATCGCTGAGATCAAATCATGCAAGAGGGTGCAGGAATATTTTGAACCGCAACAGCCACAGGCCAAACGCCAGTGTGTTGGCTGATTATGTGATTTCTTTGCCATTGCAATTGCAATGAGGTGGCAAGTTGGATTTGGGGGACCCAGTCCTGAAACGGACTGGCTAAACCGGGTGGGACCAGCTCAGCAGTGAAAACAGACTGGGCAGACTCAACTTGGCAGGGTTTTTGATTGGCACCAAAAACACTAAAGGTTTATATGTTTTGAATTGTTCTCGCTGGATTCATTTCTGAAAAATCGGTTGTTTATCTTTTTGCTCTAGTGACACCAGAGAAGTGTCATGCTTGCACACTGTTTCGTGTCTTAGGATTTTTCACAAGCCTTAGGCCCGACTAACCCGTAAGCGCGCGAAAAAACCCAACAGGGCCTGTTGCTTCCCACCCCCCTACTATTGAAGATATGGATCAACAGTTACGTCTTGATTGTGCCAGGAAGCCTTCCTCTTCGCGGATTTGTTGTGCCACAATGGCGCCTTGAGCGCCCTTGAAAAGGCTGCCCTTTGGGCGACAGCGCTGCACTTGTGGCATCAGATGCCAGATGCCAGGAGTGCCCTGGGAAGCCACAACAGGCACCATCCACAGTTCAACCATGTTCAACCACTACACTAGGGAGACTCTCCAACACCCACTCTTTAATGGAGTCTAATGCTGTTCCTAATCGTGAGGCAAAACTGGGGGGTCTTCCTAGTTCAAGATTGACTCACCTCTCGTTTATGTGTTTCTTGTTGTTCTTGTTTTTGTGTTGTTCTCGCTTTGTTTTCGCATGTTCTTGCCTTGTTTTTGCTCTTGTGTTATTGGTGATTGAGGTTGTGGTTGTTGGTTGTTGTCGTGATTGTGCTTGTGGTGGTTGCTGCTGCTGTTGTGCTGTGGGTTGTTGGTGCTACTTTTCTGCTGGAAAGTTCTGAAGGTTTCTTGATCTAGCGGATTCTAGCCACAAATTGGACAGCACACGATCTCGGATGATCTCGGTGTCCAACACCACAACGGATATATAACGATTCTATACATAGGAGCATCAACCAAGAAGTAGCAGCAGCTTACTTGATTGGTATGAACTGGAAGCCTGCCAAAGTCAAAGGTGTTGACAGCGTTTGCCAGGATCGTGGCAGATGTTTACAGTTACAGCGCTGTAATCAGCAGCTGCGAAAAGGGTGGAGAAAGCCGGTTGGCACTGGACGTTTTTCAAGCTATGCTTAGGGCAAGCATCACGCCGAATGTGGTCAGCTACAGCGCCCTGATTAGTTCATGTGAGAAGGGCGCCCAATGGCAAACCGCCCTGGAATTGTGGCAGGAGATGCCCCAAAAGCAGATCGCTCCAAACCTTTACACCCACAATTCCACCATCAGTTCCTGTGAGAAGGCGTCTGAGTGGCAACTAGCTTTGAGGATCTTTGGCAACTTACCAACTGCAACCATCAAGCCCGATGTGATCAGCTTCAGTGCCACGATCAGCGCATGCGAAAAGGGCGGTCAGTGGCAGCCAGCATTGAGCTTGTTGCAGCAGTGGCGGGCGGAAAGACCGGCGGCACAGCTACAGGTCAAAAACACAGTCGATGATCGTCGATGACATTTGTGAATGGTCATTGAGTTATTGATGCTGTTCCCATGATGGAATGTTGCGTGTGCATATATATATTTTACATGCATATGTGGCCACACTGCACGCACTGCATGCGAAAGTGATTCTTTCACCAACTGACCTCCCGGTTGTGGAGTGTTTGCCAAGATTCAAGATCAAAACAGAACATCTGCTGCAGACATACTGTAATCATTTGTAATGTCATATTGTTTCTTTTTTTGGATGGCAACCTGTATGGGCGCAATAGGATCCCGGAAGCTCCACGGAGGAACACAATTTAGGACGTGTTGTGTTTGAACCTTCATGCTGCATGATGATCCTTTTGCTTGGAAAGCAGAAAAAGCATGAACGAGACCAACACAACATTTCACATCCAGCATCGATACATCCCCCCCATCGGTAAACTGACCTCAATATAACTATACCTCAATCTCACTGCTTAGAGAGAGAGAGAGGTCCAATCTCACGTAATTAAGCCTTAAGTCTGAAACCATTGAAACCATCCTAGACCTAGACCCAGAGGGAATATCACTGATCAGCCTGATTGTTTTACATTGCACCCTCTCGAATCGACAGTAAAGCCCCTAGTGGTGTTGTGGGTCCCCGAAATCTCCCCTCAAATACTGTAATTGTGCACGATGCACCGCATACCTTTGCTGAAGACACATGCATGGGAGCTTCCTACCGTAACACTTGAACAAGCTCCGCGCGTTTCTTCCTTCATGTCCAGCACGGGCGACGCGCTTTGGTGACACCGCGCGTGGCGTTCCGCGCCCCGCGTGGCGTGGCACGCGCCGGCGTTCATGGGCATCCCTCGACTCACGCCCTGGCTGCGGAACACCTTCCCTGATGCCTTCCGGAATGAGGCGCAAGGGCACAGCCTGGAAGTGACTTCTGAATTCTTCCAACACACTAATTAAGCTCACATCAAAGCACTGCAAGAAATGTTCATTGCGACACTGAAGTGGTTGGAATGGCTGGAAATTTTAATTGTCTAACGTATCATGAAAGTGGTAATCAGTGGAGAATTCCTGTGTTGGGCGATTTGAATCACTCAATTGAGGCACCTGGTTCCGTGCTACTGTAGCTGCTACGTAGTCAGAACCTGAATTTGGTTGAACTTAATGACGCTGCCATTTGACCGAATGCGTGGAGAGTGAATGAGGCACAGCTTAAGGCCGAGCATGTGCTTCCTGACAGCACTCCAAGTGAATCTCCTACTGTAGGGGAAGGTGTATTATATCATTGCTGACTATCTATATGGCGTATGGGGCAATTGTTTGCATCAAAAGTGAATCAAAAGACCAGCTTGTGTAGGTTAATGCAGAATGATGGGAATACAAACTCTCTATAGGTTGAAGTAATTGCAAGAGCTGAGCAGGGGGGTGCAAGACTGTCCTCCCATTTTTGTGGCTGGGCCACTAATTCGCACCCACACACTACACCATAACGTCGATCATGAAAAAGCCGAACAAATCCTTTTCCAATGGTTGATGTGAAACTGGCAGAAAAAGGTCTGGGGGCAGAAAGTGCAGGTTCACACCGTTCACACCTGTCGGACCTGTTTTGTTTTTCTTCACGCCGACTGCACGCGAAGTAAGAGGCGCTGACTGCGCTCCATGCACACCACCGAGGTATATTGATCTCAACAGTGTGCTTCACGAGACGCTCTCAGCACGTGGCGGCAGTGCATCTGAGGAAGGGACGAATTCACGCGTCGAAGTACCGGGTATTTGGAGACACGGGGTTCAGGATGGAAACATTAATAAAACACATCACAGAGGTGGAAAGTGAGTACCAGGTGAAAAGGAGGTGAGCTTCTCCAAGTTGTGTTGGTTCCATGTTACTCCCAGCAGCGCAAGAAAGAGAGGACATGACAAGAATGCCAGTTTCGGCCTGCGTCCAATTCAACGAATTTCAATCATGTTTCGCGTGGTGTTTGTAGCCAGGAGGTGCACCTGCTACAGCCTGTCAAGCCCTGTCGGCATGTAGGGCAGGGCAGGGAAGATCAGGTGTGTGAGAGCAGAGATGGAGGTGGCTAGGAAGTACACGGGGGCTAAGGTGCTGCGAGGCTCAATGGCCTTGCAACTCAGCAAGGCAGCCAAATGAATAGCAACATCAAAAAAGGGATGCGGTGGAATTTGCCCTGAGAGTCATGCGAGCTCAAGTGACGTTTGGACCTTCAGCCATTTGCAGCAGCCCATATGCCACCCGGTAAAGTGGCATTCTCAAGAAGGAAGCATGTTGACGTTGAGATTGCTATGTGTTGCATTGTTTTGTTACCTATTCCGAGCATAGTTTATATATAATCGGCCTATGTATATTCATATAAACACATTTACATAGACTGAGGATTTCTGCGTTGTTTGTTTAATGTTGCTTTATTTGTTTTTTTAATGTATAGACTGAGCTAGTTGTGTTTTTTCCAAGATTTGTTGGCAACCCAACCCACCAGTTTACCGTGGTTTGGGAAGACTGAGCTATTGGAGTTAGCTGCATGGGACACACATATATAAATTTTGTATATTTTTACACGTTCATGAGTGAATTGATTGAGCCGTTCGATCAGATCCTGTGATCATGGCGAGATGCATGATGCTGCCCGGTCTGGCTGGAGCTTCAAGCTTCAGGAGCTCGAAGCTTCAAGATGCACTGGAGGATCCTCGGTTTTTGACGTCCAGGATTGCAACTCGCTCATTGGTGCGTTGGGGCGCAGCTCAGGTTGGAGTCGAGCCCTGCAGTCGTTTAGAATTTGGAGAAGCAGATCCAAGGTTAGTAGTTACAATAGCCTGGTGGCGGCGCAGAGTGGAAATCAGTGGAGAGAGGCCTTACAGACTTTGGAAGAAGCACGGGAGAGACAAGTCCAGATTGATTTATTTACCTGGACTCCAGTAATCAAACATTGCCAAGCTGGTCGCTGGAAAGCTGCCCTAGGTTTCCTGACAGAAGTTCGATCTTCCGACCTGCGCTTGGACACCATCATCTATGGCGCCACCTTAGATGCGACCGCTGGTGCGTGGCTCCAGAGCTTGGAACTGTATCACGAGATGGGAATCAGGAGCTGCAAGAGGGACTTCTGGTGCTACCAGCCTTTGTGCCATGCCTGGCCACATGCCTTGGGACTCCAGGTAGATGAAGCTGTCCGGGTTGCTGCCATGGCAGTTGCCAGAGGTCATGCATGGAGACTGGCGCTGTTCTTGCATCGCCCTACTGGCCCCATGGCAGTGAACGCGGTCATGGGGGCGTGTCAGAAAGCTGGAGTTTGGGAGTGGGTTTTGCAGATCCGCGAGGGTGCCATCAGGTCTTCCCTGCGCTTGAGCAGCATCAGCTACTGCTTGGCAATCTCTGCCACGCAAGGTGTGCAAAGCTTGTGGGTGTCCTCCTTAGCCTTGCACAGTGAGATGGTAGAGGTGGGACTTGGAAGAAACCACTTCACAGACAGCGCAGTTCTTCCCAGTCTTCCATGGCACCTCTCCTTGAAGCTACTTGAAGATATGCCATGCATCGGTGTTCAACGAAACGTGGTGACTCACAGCGCCAGCTTCAATGGATTGCCCTGGGCTTTGGCCTTGCAACAGCTACACGCTTTCCCCGCAACACTCAACACCATTCTCCTCACTGCTGGCGCCAAAGCTGTGAACCAGTGGCAGAGGAGCAGCCTTTGGCTGCTGGAGGCGTACTCCGTTGGTTTGCGCTTGGACAGTGAGGCGCAAACCGCACTGCATGGCTGGCGGGGTGTGTTCGAGCTGCTTCCCAGGGATGCTTTGGTGCCGACAACCCGGGGTTATGCCCTAGTAATGGGCGAATGTGAAGATCGGGGACAGTGGGAGGAGGCCTGGAAACTGCTCAGCCAGATGGGGCCAGAGCAAGATGTGATTTGTTATAACTCATTGCTAGCTGCTTGTACTCAAGCGGAATGCATCGGAAAAGAAGAGTACTGTATCAAATTCGTCGTTCCAGGGTGGGTGGGTGCTTGGTTTGTGGCCTTCATGGACCTTGGGGATTCAGATCCTTGAATGAAATTGAAATAGTAGCTTTCAAAATCACTTGGGAAGCTTCTCCCATAATATGGCAAGCAGTCAAGCAGAGGCCTACTCAGACTGTAGAAAACAGGAAAGAACCTGCAGGCACGGCTGACGGATGCTGATGAGTTTGAACGATTTAAGACACGGTGGAAACGGTTCGTAGGAAGTCATGCCGGAAAGCAAGACTTTAGTGAGCTGAGGGGCCCTATGTATACTTGAAAATTGGGTTTCAGAACCACCGGGGCGCTGTATGTCACCACGATCGGGTCGCTGGGATTGTCGAGACTGAAACCCAGTGGTGCAGGAGGTCTTCCTCCAAGCAGTGCTGGCCCGTGTGGATCACCTCCTGGACAGGCCCCGCCAGCCCGCGCACCTACCAGTGCAAGGGCATTTGGTGGTCAGTAAAACCATTTGAAGCTGGTGTGGAGAAAATACATGAATGATCGATCATGTCACCTGAACATTTCATATACAGTAAGCTCCAAATCATCTCCAATCCTTCCTGAAAGAGATGCTTGCCGTGAGGGCAACATTTACCACTGGCTTGCAACCAGGCAAATTTTGAAGTGTAAGCTTGGGGTAGCCCTCGCTTCAGTATTCTGCAGCCCCTGCACTTCTAAGCGACCAAAAGGTAGATGCCATGGTATACCCTATATATAGAGCGATATCTATGTATACCGTATACCACCTTTGCCAACCTCATGTAACCTCACCTATATATTTCATCCTATATCCCTGAAGTTTAAAACATGTCCAGTCCGGCAAATCCCCACCGCCAGGGTGACGCCCAGCCAGACGCTCTTCGTGGCCATTGATGGCCCAGCCTGTGCTGCTAAAGTCCCCGAGCAGCGCCGCCGCCGGCGCGCACGGCCGCCGCGTGCACGGGAGCTAGGCACGCCAGGGTTGATGTGTCGGCCCAATGATTCCTACAGAAGCACAAGTGATGGTTGCCTGTTTATACAATACTTTTCTTTTTTTTTTCGTGATTTTGCTCTTCTCCTTCTTGTGTTTCTGTTTTGATGCAAAAGCTGTTTCAGAAATCGAACTCCTTGGAATTGAGTTGCAGTCTAAGTCCGAGTCCAAGTAAACTCATTTCAGGCCCATGCCTCAACAAAGAATTCTCTGATGGATGCCCCAATTGGCTCAAGGGGCTGCCTGGTTTGGGCAGCTGGCCATGGTGGAACCCCACGTCCATGGCTCAACCTTCATGATGTTGCGTATTCTGGTGTGGCTGACCTCTGCAGCAGCTTTTAAGGCACCGGTTGAGTCCACGTGGGTGTCGTTATTTTCGAGTCACTAGGATGACCGTGTTTTTGTTCAGACAAGTTGAGCCAAACGGTGCAAAGCCTGCTCGTGGCACAGGGCATCACGAACAGTTCAAACAGATACAGTATGTCAGTATGTCCTGGCATTTGACAATGGTACTCTCCCCAAACTTGCATGAGAAGGCTATGTTTCTTGGTGAGGTGCGAAAAATGCCCCCCTACGAATCCCAGAGCCATCCAAGCTTGGAGTCGCAGAGCGCCCTAGATCACAAGTCACTTCTGGACGCCTTCTGTAGGACCCGGCCTATTTGTGGTGAATAGTACTGCAAAAGATGCTTCAAAGCTTAGGGATGTTCACCCATCTCTCTAAGGATATTGGCCATATTTGGCCATATTTGAAGCGGCTTGCTTTGTCCCAGGTGGTGGATGTGGGCGCCCCACGCAGTGGCACCCAGTCATTGAAGTTGGCTTTGCAGATGTTGGGTCTCTTGGCTCGGTCATGGAGCTCGGCTTGATTCGTTTTGATTGTAACCCTAACCTGAAGCAAAGTTCCGTTCGTGAAGCAGGGCTGGTTCCACTTCCAAGCTGCTGGGTAAGCCAACAAGTGGTTTCGAGTGGGGAGGCAGCTGGCGTTCTCCTAGCACTTCTGAGATCTCAGGCTACAAACCACTTCACTCTGGCTTGGCGCCCTGCTCGCATTTGAAATGGATCCAGTTGAGTTGCATTTGGATTGGGGTGTGTGATTTTTGTGTTGGGGAGGTTAGCGGCCCGCACATGTTGTGACACTGTGACACATGATGTCTTTGACAGCTTTGTTAAGGTCATCCTAGGACTTGGCTAGAAGCTAGAAACCGTTATGAAGTCAGCATGGCTTGGGATAGTCCTTTGGAAGCACGGCTAAAGCATCCAGCTGCTCTTACCGGATTGACATTTTACCCAAAAATATGTTGCACGGAGTCCTTAGCCCTGTATATCCCTATATATATATATAGTGTGCATGTGATTTTGCACAGCACGAGCTACATTTGCAGTTGCCCTCAAGCCGATGAATTCTAGAATGCACAACTGTTCATGCCTTGCAGTTGTAGTTGAAGTCATTGCAGCTTTGGTTCTAGCTTGGCACTTAATGTCTATGTGAGGGGTACAACATGAAGCAGTCGCATCAACTACGCCCGGTTCAAGTGCTGAACAGATTCGAGCTTGAGGTTTAGGGGACCTCGGTGTAACTCTGATAGATTGGCCAAAAAGATTGTGATCCATGGCGGTTGATGGGTAGATTGGAACCCAAGAACTTTGGGTGCGTCGTTGCTGGACATTTGCCTGACGTTTTCCCCAGCGGAGCCGACAAAGACAAGGACCACTGGAGCCGCCCAGCCTGGTGTCAGTACAAGTTCGGCCACGGGAGCTTCGAGGCGGCCGAGCCTACTAATAGCAAACATTGTTACTACTAGTAAGGCACTTGTTACTAGTAGCGATGCACTTGTTCCTAGTAGCTTCTTGTTACTACTAGTAAGGCACTTGTTACTAGTAGCGATGCACTTGTTCCTAGTAGCTTCTTGTTACTACTAGTAATGTAGTCCTCAGATTTATAAAGACCCCTAGAATTATATATGTCTTTTTTTCCCTGCACTGATTTATAAAGGCCCCTAGAATAAGGTAGTTGTAGTGGATTTTTTTTTATTGTTATAGTTTACTTTTTCCCTTTTGATTTTGCTGGGATTTGCTTATCTTACAGGCTTTTGGATTGAGATTTCTATCAAACATTTGGAGATTTCCATTGAGATTTGATTCTTTTGGAGGCTTTTGGATGGAGATGTCTATTGAAAATTTGGAGATTTCCATTGAGATTTGATGCTTTTGGAGGCTTTTGGATGGAGATTTCTATTGAAAATTTGGAGATTTCCATTGAGATTTGATGCGCACTTTCTTTATAAAATCCCTTATTCAAAAGTATTGAAAAACAAAAAAAATCATTCAAGCAAAGGGGGTAGTCCAGCAAGCAGCTTTCTGACATTATTTAGGGGGGGCCCCTAGAATAATGTCTAGAGATTTGAGGCTTTAAATCTTTATTCCTTTTCTTTGCCTTTTGATTTGCTTTACTCACCCTCTATTCCTTATTAACTTTTCCTAAGCTCTTTAGTTTTGAAGCTTTCCAAAAGTTTCCAACAGTCAGTGCGCACTTTCTTTATAAAATCCCTTATTCAAAAGTATTGAAAAACAAAAAAAATCATTCAAGCAAAGGGGGTAGTCCAGCAAGCAGCTTTCTGACATTATTTAGGGGGGGGGCCTAGAATAATGTCTAGAGATTTGAGGCTTTAAATCTTTATTCCTTTTCTTTGCCTTTTGATTTGCTTTACTTACCATTGAAATTGCAGGTCTTTGGATTGAGATTTCCATTGAAATTTAAACAGTTAGTTCTATTTCCATTGATTCATTCCCTTTTATTGTAATTAATATTCCAGATGTCTTCAAAGTTAGGAATTCTTATTTCCTTTTAATTTAATATTCCAGAGGTCTTCAAAGTTAGGAATTCTTATTTCCTTTTAATTTAATATTGCCAGAGTAGCTCCAGAGGTAGCTAGCTAAGGATTCCTTATTTAATTATCAACTGATTGATTTTCTTATACATTATTTTGGAGGCCTTGGCTGTTGCGGGGGGGGGGTTTATAAATCAAGGGACTACATTAAGGCACTTGTTACTAGTAGCGATGCACTTGTTCCTAGTAGCTTCT